TGTTGTTGTTGTTGTTGTTGTTGTTGTTGTTGTTGTTGTTGTTGTTGTTGTTGTTGTTGTTGTTGTTGTTGTTGTTGTTGTTGTTGTTGTTGTTGTTGTTGTTGTTGTTGTTGTTGTTGTTGTTGTTGTTGTTGTTGTTGTTGTTGTTGTTGTTGTTGTTGTTGTTGTTGTTGTTGTTGTTGTTGTTGTTGTTGTTGTTGTTGTTGTTGTTGTTGTTGTTGTTGTTGTTGTTGTTGTTGTTGTTGTTGCTGTTGCTGTTGTTGTTGTTGTTGTTGTTGTTGTTGTTGTTGTTGTTGTTGTTGTTGTTGTTGTTGTGTTGTTGTGTTGTTGTGGTTGTGGTTGTGGTTGTGGTTGTGGTTGTGGTTGTGGTTGTGGTTGTGGTTGTTGTTGTTGTTGTTGTTGTTGTTGTTGTTGTTGTTGTTGTTGTTGTTGTTGTTGTCGTTGTCGTTGTTGTGGTCGTCGTCGTCGTCGTTGTCGTCGTCGTTGTTGTTATTTGTTTGCGCTGTTGAGAGATACCCGCAGGACTGGTGTAGAGACCTTTGGTTCGCCTAGGTTTGTTCATCTGGGGACGCCTGCAGTTTTTTCTTTCAGTTTCCTTTGTTGTTGTCTTGAAAGGTTCCGATTTTCGAAAGCAAATCGTTGGCTGCTTGCAGTTGTGTAGCGCAGCGCGAAAGTTGCTATTCGCAGGTGGTGAATCTTATTGTGCGAAGCGCAGACAATATGTTCCATGTACTTGTTCATGGGTGTTTTACGTATCGTTGCCTTTGGGGCGCCATGTTGGCTCAAGTACATTTGTGCACCTTCACTCATGCTTCGTTTTTGCTTCCCTCCGACCCTTTTCTTGTTTCCCTCGGTTTTACTTCAGATTCCAGCAAGCGACAAGGAGAGCGGTTGAATTGGATATGGGATGGAAGTTGTGCACAAATGGACAATCGTACGTAGAACATGCATGCAAAAAACGTGCGGCATAAGCAGGCATCATGCACCGTTCTTGCGGGCTGCCCCGTTGCAACTCTTGGCCCTAAACCCTAAACGTGGTGAGTCTGTTTTCATACAAAAAGGCGCTCGGTTGGGACGCCCCAATTCTATTTGGTCTCTTGCCCGGAAAGTTTTTTTTAACTCTGGGAGCGCCACATAGAATGGGTGGTGGACGTCCACCAAAAGGTCTCGGCTGAAAAATCACAATCATCTGAAGCCAGCCTCAGAGTCATAGCCAGTGCTTCGCTGGCGATTCAAGTACCGCACGTGCAAACAGGCATGTGCAATGTGCTTCAAGCCGGACTCGCGCACGTATGGACAAAGTTTCTTGCCTTGTCAGTGGCTGTAGTTTTCGTTGCGGGGATAGGTTTCGAGTGGTCGATCGTCGGCCTCGAAGGCTCGCAAGGGTGCAACCCATCAGTTGGCTCGAACTCCGAGCTGCGTACTGAGGACCGAGGGATCGATGGTTCAAGAAGTAAGGCCCGGTCGCCCGGTCCCGGGCTTCGGGGCTGTGCCGAATTGAAATTGGAGCCCCCAGGCGGGAGGTGGAATCTGAGCCCACCAAAATGGCTTTGGCACGCCCTCAAAGTAGAAATCTGGAACCCCTTCAAAAGGATTTGGCACCCTCTCAAATGGATTTGGAGCCCCTAGAATTGGAGCCCGCAAGAGTTGGAGATTTGGAACCCCCGAACACTTTTAAATTTGGAACCCCTCAAATGGATGTGGAACCTCTCAAAACTTTGAAATTTCGAACCCCTCAAATGGATGTGGAACCTCCCAAATTTGGACGTTTGGAACATTGATGTGGAACCCCCTAAAATTGGAGATTCGGACCCCCCAAACCGGCAGCTTACCTTTGGTTTTGCCATGGAAGGCCTTTGTGACGGGCTCCGAAAACGGGTTCCGATCCCTTGCAATGCGAGGCGTCGGAAAGGAACGCATGTGTTGGAAGCCATTCAACCGGCACCACTTTCCCACTTCTCTTCGGCTCAGTTGGCCAGATCGCCAGATCCCCATTTCGCGCCCATTTCGGACCTTTTCCTGCTCGTTTTTTCGAGGGATCGATACGGCTCCCGCAGTGTGAGGGAGGTTCGCCAATTCGCACCGGTCAGGCAGCAGCTCACAAATCAGCAGCTTCAGCGGGGGGCCGAAGACTGCAAGTTGGCTCGGGCTTGCTACTGAAAACTCCGATCTTCGTATTTTCTGGTTTGAGGAGTGTCCACTTGTGGGCTGGAATGCCCCCACTCATCAGGCCTGAGTTGAGCAAGTTGACACGAGCCTGGATGTAGGGGTTCCTTCTTATTTTGAGGTGTCCTTTTTGGGTGTGGTTTAACCGGGAATTCACAGGGACACTGCCGTTTTTGGGAGACACACCCATGCCTTTGCGAGCGGTCCAACAGGCGCGTTGCCTCAAAGCACGTTTCAACATCAGATGCATTCCGGTGGATGAAGTTGTCCCCTTTTGCAGACCAGCAGGGCTGACCACTTGCCCGACAAGATGCCAAGTTGCGGCATAGCGGAGGGAGACCCCAAAACTGAAGTGTTCCTATTGCTTGATGAAGTTTTTTGGAGCCGTCAGCCGTGCCTGAGGTTGATGGCAATGCAGATGCAGCCGCCCAAGAACATGACTTGGCTGTTTGGCGGAGTTCAGGCAAACGCGACTCTGGGTGTGCAAAAATAGGGGTCCCCCCAAATGTTTGGAGAACTAGTTTGTTGGTTCAAAAAGACCTAATTTGAGGACGGAGGCATGTGAGTGGCAGTGAAAGCTTCAAGCCACAGCCGACAAAAGATCAGCATGTGGGTGTGTCTTCTTTTGAGGGTACCCTTTTGTTTGTGGTTGTAAAGGAAAACCAAAGGCCCCCCCCCAATTTTGGCGGTCCCCTGAAAAAAGACACACCTATGTAATGAGTGCAACTCACTTCTCTGTGGATCTCTTGCCACTGAAGCGCCCAGGCAAGTCCAATCTTTGCAGCAGGTGACAGGAATGAGCCGCTCGTCAAATCACGGGGCAGGACGTGTTTCCTTTCACCCACCGACATTTGGGGGTTTCTCAAAATAGAGGCAGAGGCCCCCCTGTTTGTATTAGTCGAACGACAAACCATCACAAAGCATTCTCAAGATAGAGGGACCCCCCATGTTCACTAGTTTAAAGGGAAACCGACAGGAAGCCCAACCTTCGTTAGGGGTTCCCCATTTTGAGACAGGCTCAAATCCGCACCCAGGATTAGCTTCGGGTTGAAATTATGATCCTCCAAGTGTTTTTGGAGGGTGCCGGTTTCACCTTGCTTTGGTTTCACCTTTCAACGGGAAACACAGAGGAATACCACCTTTTTTTGGGGGGGTCCCCTACTTTGCCAAATAGCTAATGATCCGGTTTTCACCAGATACTACTTGGGGGATGTTGCTATGCGCAACATCAAAAGATGCAAGTTGGGGCTAAGACTTCATCGGTCTGATCGCTCGCGTGGGATCATTGCCTGACTGGCCCGGAGCCATGGATCATGTGAGGTCGGCGCATGTGTCAGGGACATGGGGGGACCACCGCATTTCCAGCCAAAACTCGGGGCAGACTAGTAGCCCGCTCCAAAGCGACGCAGGACTCACCAATCTCTCCCAAGTGAAACGGCAAGCGCGTTCCGTGCAGGCTCGGGCATTGCACCTGATGCATCTTTTGGGCAGGCGAGAGACGGGTCGGGCCTCTCTACGGCCAGGGATGTGTGCGGGTGGTCTCCAATCTGTTTAGAGTGAAGCTGCTTTGGTGTTCCCCCCAAAACCGTGCAAATAGCAAGCCGAGCAGCTCGGACAACTTTCACCTTCTCATCAGCCGAAAACATGGCTATGAAATTGGTGGGGTCAGGGCATCGGGAGCCCCGAGCACAAGCACTAGACTCCTCCAGCAAGAAAGAGAGACGACATGTGCGCTGAGCCAATGCTCGGATGTATGGATCAGGGTGCCAATGGCTTACTTAGATGGTCTGGGAGGAATCAGTCAGTCAGTAACCCCGAGTTTCCGCCCCAGTTCACCACCCTTAAAGTAGGGTTACTCACCATTCAGCGATCACCAGAAACGTCCAAGCAGGTGCCTGATGCTTCTTGAAACGCATTGCAAACACTTCGGGTTGATTTCCGAGTCCCAATTATTTTGCAGGCTAGCAGATCCAACGTCGTAGGGCAGTCAGGGGCTCAGCGCAGTCAGTCGCATGTTGCTCTCTGTGAAGTGGTCCCCCGCTGATTCTTTTCGGTCCAGGTTCCTGGTATCGCCGGTGCCAACAGAAGCCAGGGACTGCGGGCAGATGGCTGTTCACCTGGCCAACCAGGCTGGGTTCAAGTGGGTGTGGGGCAAAAAGAAAACACTCGGGGACTAGGGGACCGCAGGTTTTGGTCCACGTTTCCGTTTGGTACCGATTTTTGACCCACAGCCAAGTGACATCGTTTCAAGTACCCTCGAACTGGTGGTTTTTTCGGGGAATCGTCCCCAAATCTTTGCTTCTTGAGGCCCCCCTTTGTCCTTTCTGGGGGAAGTCGAGAGATGGACCGAGGTGAATCCTATGATGGAGTTGGGCCAGGCGGGTTCTCGAGACATCATGAGACAATCCAACCAGACAAAAGCAACCCCCCCGGGCAAGAACAACGGCGAAAAGCGTGTGGGATTCGCTTCCCTCCCCCTTCAAAACATGTGTTTTTTCCTGGCAAAAGGCCGACTGCCCCCTGATTTCATATGCTCCTCCATCTGAAGTTGACATCAGCACTGCTTGTCATTTCGGGGCAGGCGCAGGCGCTGGCTTTCGATGGATCCCATGAGGGCAGATCAGGCAGGGCTGAGTGTCATCCATGTGACTCATGACGGAGAAATGAGCAGCAGAACCTGGTGTGGACAAAATCCACTTTGCACCAGTTGGTAGGTGGTGTATCCCAGTAGGAATCGGTCTTGGGCGCTGCTCAATGATTTTTCTGTCACATGGGTGTGTTATAGATTCCATGAGAATCAAAGCGCATGGGAATCATTGCAGTGGTTGTCTTTCAGGAGGATGCGATGCATGCCACCCATGGAGCAAACTGATGTCGTTCCAAGTTGAAGCGGTTGAGGGGCAAGGGACGCTGTCAATCATCGGGCCAGCTCTGCAGAATGGCTCGAGAGCCCTTTTGATTCTTCTGCATGTTGCATGGACCCCTTGTATGCAAATTGCAATTGGAGGGTTTGCAAAAGGGCCATTTGTTGCATAGATATTGGTGCGCAACTGTTTTGGGGTCATGATTGTCCTTCTAGCTCCACTGGCCCTCCCCCAACCCCCGGGTCTCTCACCTACGTGCCTCGCCGGCAGGTTTGTGCTCCGGCGCCATGGGCAATTCGGTTCAAATGGCCAGGGCCCCAGATGCCGGGGCTCTTCAAGAGGCGTGTCTCTCTCTATTCGAGGCCACCCTGTTTTGGACAGTTTTCAGCGAAACCAAAGGACGCCGAAGCCCATGTTGTGGGTTCACCTGTTTTGACAGACCCAAATAAGGGCGCAGAAAGGCCGTATTGACAAGTTGTTGGATTGGTTGCGCTCATTTCTCAAGGGCTGCCAACTGTTGGCAAGCCCGTTACTCGTGAAGCGAATCAACACTAATGAGAGCAGGGCTTCGACATGGAGAGGTCGAATGCTTAGGCTTTGAGTCGTCTGCTTTGAAATGTTTGGGGTTGGTGGGCAGTTGCACTGCCAAGGTTTTAGATGCTCAGTTGCCTCCATTTGGGAGCATTGTTTTTATGTTTTTCCTCATTGGTCGTAAAAGGAATTTATCACTACTGGACATATTTTTGTTTTTTCCAGGGGTCCAAATGGAAGGTTGAATCCTGACATGGGCGCAATGGAAGCATTCGCGCCGGATCAGGTGCCCTACATGATGCTTCCACTTCAGGCCATGCAGATGGGCGACGGGTATGGTCCAGGCCGGGACGTTGAGGTTGGGACGAGAAAGGTTCACGAAGGTTCGAACACCCGGGACGTCCAGCAGTAGATGTTCAGTGGCAAAGTTGTTTGCATTTTTTCGTTTTTGTGGGGAAGGTCCAGCGAACGGCACGTGGATCGTTGATGAGGTCTACACTGCTCCTCGGATTGAAAGCATCAGCCGAATTTGCATTCTGCAGAAGCTTGGTGCCCGTTTCTTGAGCAACCCAGACATCTTTTTGTTCTGGCTGAGCTAACTACAGGGATGGAGCGGGCCTGCGCAAACACAGGACGATTGGCCAGAAACCGGCACAGTTGCAGCTCGATGTGCTCTAAGGATTGAATTCAAGCCCACACTGGAAAGGTGAGCGAGCACTCCAGGTGCAACCGACATAAGATACCGCCCCCCCTGCACTCCGCCCCTACGATTTGTGCGTGTCAGTGCGAATAGCGGAAAAGCCACCCGTTCTTAGGTTGGTCTGAGCCTCTTTTTCTGCTTTTCCGTTCCGTTTGTGAAAATGGGGCTTGGCCCATAGCATCCAATCGAAGTGGAGTGGAGGGGAGGCAATGACTTTGCTCGCAGCGAGCCGGCAAGCGCCGACTGGCAGCAAAGGCTGGCCACATCCCCTGATTTGATCGATGGACTGGCACTCAATTTCGGCTTGCTTGCCAGACGGATTTGTGTGATGTGTTGATTGTGATTGAAGCACGCGCTCCTGGGCGTTTCTTTCCGACTCTGTTTCTTTGCCGTTTGGCAGGCACCTTACCAGACATCATGGTCAAGAGACCCTCGTCGAGAGTTGCTCTCAAATACTTTGTTTCAGAGAAGACCCTGCCTCACGTGTGGCTGTGCTGCAGAGGTTGCGAGCCATGGAAACCGTGGGAGCTGAGTGGGTCAGATCGGTCGTGTTCGGCCAATCTCTGTGTGGAAGTGTCCTTCCAGGTCTGCAAGTTAAGGGCTTAAATGCCTTTTGATGCTTTCTGCATTTCTTTGATGTGTTGTTTGATGTGGTTTGTGTTTCTGGCGGGACTTCTTCTAACAAAGCTGCACGAGTTTGATCAAACCGGTGTGTGGCTGTATTTTTCTGGCAAGGCGCATCAGCCAATCATGGGAATTGGAATCGAATTTTCAAGGCGCCTTTGCCCGGGAACTGCTTCTGGATCTCACTGACGTGGCGGCATTGCCCCCTTAGAACGAAAATTGGGGGTGATCTCTGGATTTCCAATGTGTGGTCCATTTTTTTTTTCCCACGCAGATCGATAACACTGGGACCCTCCCTCCGCTGAAGGTGAGGGTGACTCGGACAGCAATTCCGGCTTCAACTCTTTGGATCGACTGGAAAGGTCCTTCTCGCAAAGCATGTTTGCGGGTCCGGAAGCTTTTTTTTCGAGCTTGGAAGCGTTGGGTGTGGCTGTGATTACACTGGGAAGCGTTTCCCACCTTGAAAAAGGACCTAACCTCGAATGAGACGGCCAGTCTTGCGAAACGCGCAGCGAGCGAGCTGGCCGTTTTCTCCTGGAATACTCCGGAGGCTTGTGCCCTGCTTAAAGGCGGAATGGGAACCGCGGAGTTGGAGTATTCCAGTCTTTTGCTGGATTTTAGGTCAGTTTCCAGCCGTCCGTTTGTTGGATGAATAGGGCAGTGGACTTTGCAGCGTCTTGGACTTGGCTCAAGGACCGCGGATGAGACTCCAGATTTTGCCAAGAGTTCAGGGCTGAATCTGCGCATTCCCTGTGAGGGAAGCTTCGAAGTCAGCTTTTTTACGCCCAGATTCTCCTTGGCGGTAGGTGGGTGTTGCCAAAATAGCGGATGCTATTCTTTCGGCTCTCCTTTGAAGGCTGTCTACCAAAAAATGCCCATCTTTGGGATGCCCCACAACTCTATTCACTTGGTCCATCTCCACACAAGTTTTTGGAACCGTGGCAGTGTCTTCGTTTGGTACGTGCCATTTTTTGGGTTGGTTTACAGGGAAAAAGAAGTGCCTTTAGTTGGGGGACAAACCCTTTGGTGGACGATTTTACACGGCGCTTAATGTTCACCCACCCATGTTGGAGGGTGTTTCCCCACAAAAAGGAGACCAATTTTGGGTATCACTAGTTTGCCTCAGAGCGACCACAAGTCAAAGACCTGCGGCGTGTCCGCAAACGCACGCTGATACCTATGAGCTGCCAAGAATAGGGCATGCGCAAAAGACATGGTATCGCAGAAAGAGGCACCTCAGGAAGTCGCACAGATGGCGTTGATGCAGCCAATTCCTTCTGGATCGCAGGTGTTTTGGTGGAGTCGATGGGGCTGCGTCAAACCGAGCACTTGCCTTTTTGAAGGGCGCCTGAGGTGTCAGAATTCTTTGTGACATGCTGTGAGACAGGGCTTGACTTGGCTGGCCCCAAACGGTAGACTTGGCTCGCGGAGCCCCCAGATTGAGCAATGAATGGCCTTGAGACCCCGGGCGCACCATGGTCAATCCCTGAGTCGTGTAGATTAGAATCCGTCCCAGCATGCGTTTTTTCTGTAGAGCGTGCCCTTCTGCTGGACTGCCGCAACAGGGTATTCGGTGTTTAAACCCTCGCATTGGACGCCTGCTCACGAAAAAGCGAGGCGTGGACGTCCAATTCGAGCATTCGTTCGAGCATTCGGCTCTTGAGGCTCTGGTCCCAAAGGCACAGCTGAGTGCGCTTCGCGCGTGAAGCCTGGCTCATAGTTCAAAGTACCTGAATTGACCGATCCTTCGCAACTTCGTTGGTGCTATTCAAAAGCTGTTCGGGTGAAAAGACCTTCGTGTGCGGGTTTTCCAGCCCAAGGTTTTTTTCAGAGAGCCCTGGAAATGCTTGGGGATTGCATGAATGGATATGGACCCCCCAACATGGATTCGCATTCCTTTGGTTTCCGCTCTTCAGCGGACTCGCGCGGCTCAGCGACTCCAATCCGGCGCTGACCATGGCGCAGGAGCGCGCTCAGTCGAATTCAGCTCGGCTCGTGGGTTTGAGGTTTCCTTTTGGTTTCCCTTTAAACCAACCCCCAAAAAAGGGAAGTGCTTTTCACTCTGTCTGTAAAAAATAAGCGCATCGTTACCAGCTCGTTCAGAGCATCCCCTATTCAAGCAGGTTGTGGGATGGGGGAAAGCAGTCGCTGTGTGCCTTTTTGTTTTCCCTTTAAACATACCTAAGCGAGTGCAGGTTCCAGAGCTCTTCCAAAGTGCAACAAATCGTATTTCTTGCCATTTCACTCGTAGCGGGAGGGTGTTGCCTGAGAATTTGGTTCGGGCAATTGGAGGGCGACGGGCAGTTTCAACCAGAAGGTGGTCCCGGTTTTAGCAAGCCGGCGGGTTCAGGCTGTGACCTCTGCGCGACTTTCGCGCGATCGTGCGGCTGAGTTCGGTGACCCAGCCTTGCAATCAATCAGCTTCTCCGTGTTGGTTTACCTCGGAATGCAGGGGCAAGGCCAGGGTTTGCACTTGCTGAAGCATCGTTCAACTGGGCTTGGGCACCCACTTTGAACTTTTGCTTCGGACCTTTGAATGCTTTCCTCCTTTTTCATCTCAATTTTCTTCCACCTTTTCTGAAAGTAGCAGGACTTTGGCGTCAAAGAGGCATTTTCCCATGTTTCCAACTTTTCTTTTTTGCCCCCCACGGCCTTCCAATCAATTCAGTTGGCATGGTTCAACGCAACCATCCTGGGAAACAACGCCCAGGTGATATCCTTAGCTCAACAGCAACCCCCTGGTTCCCTTCAACCAAGCTGAAAAGAGGATCCCTCCCCTGTTCCCCCCTCTCCCACGTTTGGGTGTGTTTCTTCTTGGTTTCTCTTTGACCCGAGCCTTAAAAGCTTTGGACACCGAGCCCAAGTTCTCCCCCCCCCCCCCCCAACATGGTTGTTGTTGGGAAACATTTCACGTTTTTGTCGGGCATTCCATCCACTGAACTGCCAAAGTTTAGATGTTCGCTCCCCTTCCATCAAAGCCACGGTTCGGAGGAGGAGTTGGACCTGGCCTCGCTGAAGAAGTCTTTGGCCTCGCTGAACTCCAAGCTGCGCCAGTCCCAGAGCCACGTGCTGCGCGCCGTGCAGGCGAAGGCCGCAGAGTTTCAGGAGGCCGCCAGGCGCGGACACGGACACGGACCTTGGCGTCCCCGCCCCCCCCCCCCCTTAGCTTTTTAGCTTTTTGGCGTTTGGTGGTTTTGTCCACCTCTGATGAAATAAACAGGGCGCCCCCCCCCCCCTGAATGCCCCTAAATAAAGTTAAGGGGGGAAAAATCAGGGTCGGGACCATTTTAGAATTGGTTTAGTATTGGGCTTTGTTTTTTGGGTTTTCGAATACTACTATAGAAATGGGCCAATTCTAAAGTAGTATTGAGCATGTTGCTTTTCCTTATTTTGCTTTGGGGGAATACTAGTTTAGAATTGGGCCAATTCTAAAGTAGTATTGGGCATGTTGCTTTTTCTTATTTTGGGATCAGTGGGAATGAGCTTAGCTTTATTTAGGGTCTGGACATTATTTACTGCATGAGGCTTCATGGGGGGTAGTCTTGCTGGCAGGGTCAAGTTGTGATTGTTGAAGGTTTCTAGGTAAAGAATTTGATGAAGGGAGTCACTCAAGAATTTTGGGATCTGATGGAATTGGAATCATTTTTAGATGAGCCAGCTTGAATAGAAAGCTTGCCCCTGAATAAGGACAAGGGGTCAGAGCAATTTTGGGATCAGTGGGAACGAGCTTAGCTTTATTTAGGGTCTGGACATTATTTAGTGCATGAGGCTTCATGGGGGGTAGCCTTGCTGGCAGGGTCAAGTTGTGATTGTTGAAGTTTTCTAGATAAAGAATTTGATGAAGGGAGTCACTCAATAATTTTGGGATCTGATGGAATTGAAATCATTTTTGGATGAGCCAGCTTGAATAGAAAGCTTGCCCCTGAATAAGGACAAGGGGTCAGAGCAATTTTGGGATCGGTGGGAACGAGCTTAGCTTTATTTAGGGTCTGGACATTATTTAGTGCATGAGGCTTCATGGGGTGTAGTCTTGCTGGCAGGGTCAAGTTGTGATTGTTGAAGTTTTCTAGATAAAGGATTTGATGAAGGGAATCACTCAAGAATTTTGGGTCCATGCATTTGATTCTGGGTCCAAAGTGTGTCTCATTTTTCTCATATTTTTAGTGTTTTTTGTGCCATTTTTTTTTTTGGGGGGGGGAAAGTTTAGCTTTATTCAGGGGTAGTTTATTATTTGGTTTGGGAAAAAGTTTAGCTTTATTCAGGGGTAGTTTGCTAATCGTAGGTGGACATTAGTTTCCATTTAACCCACTAAAGGTTAAACTTTTAGCGGGGGATCTGAGGGCAGCCCAGGGACACGGGAGGAAACCAAAGGGGTGCCCGAGCCCATAAGCGGATGGTATTTAACCCCCCAAAACGAAACCGGGCGCAGACCAAAATGGGGGTGGTTATACCTAGGGATCTGGGAAGAGTAGACCAAGCCAAAAAGCCGGGGAGGTGGGGAGTGCCACGTACATGGGTAGTCGAAGCACTCCCCGAGCTGGCGTCGGTTTGAGTTTTAGTTTCCGTTTAAAGCCATCTCAACAAGAGTACCCTCAGAAAACCACTGAGCAGGGGTGAGGGCAGGCAAGTGGAGCCGGAAGCTGCGGACATGGCGCGAACGTTGGAGAACCATTTCGGACATTCAATGGTCGCCCGATTTTCCTTGTGCAAAGTTGGGATGCTGAAGCCAACCTTTTAACCAGATAAATCAACCAGCGGGTAGGCACACCGCCGAGCTGGATCAAGTCATCTCCGACCTGGGCGCCGACTTCTCGCGCTACGACTGGCTTCCAGCGGCTCCGGACCCCCCTGACGGAGGCTGGGCCGGCAAGCAGCCAGTAATGTGTCGCTTCAAAGGGAAACTAGGAGGGATGTTTGAATTCCCGAAGTGGTTGAAACACCTGAGTCGAAGATCTGGTGGTAAAGCTTCATCCCAGTTGCCCAGTTGCCCACCTTTTCTGGCTTGGTTTGTGGGGTGGGGGGTGGGGGTGCCCTTGGCATCCCGCCGGCTTTGGGCCCACCCGGCCCAGCCGCCCGCCCCGTCGCCCAGGCGCCTGGACACCGGTGCTGGCGCTGGTCCCGGGCGCCCAGGCCGCCGCGGAGGCGCGGGCGGCGCGGCAGGCGGAGCTGGCGGCGGTGGACGCGGCCATCGAGGTGATGCAGACGGTGCTCGACGCCGAGGACCGCGTCGAGTCCGAGTCCGAGTCGTCCCCCCCCCCGCCCCCGCCTTTAACGCGTGTATCACCAGCCCATGCACCAGAAAGACCCCCAACATGTGGAACTCCGGAAAGTCCGACCCAACTGGGGATGAGTCAGTCCCCTGGTTTTGGTAGGCACCTTGAATGTGCGGCAATGCAGGCGAGCATCAGCCCAGCGCTAAGCACATGTGCATGCACGCCCACGAGCATTCAGCCAGCGCGTGGGAAGCACACATGCATTTACCCAGCCATGACGGGAAGGCAGTCGCTCGCGCGCGAGCCCACCTGCAAGTACCCTCGGTCGCAACCCCTTGGCATTTGAGACCCAGTGTTTCGAGTAGCCCCTGGAAATCATTGCGCGTCCGGCATTTTGAAGGTCGAGCCCAGGCGTTCCTCACCAAAACTTGCGGCCAAACTGCTGGGATTCCTAGGGGGCTGCAAGCTGGCTAAATTTCCCCTGCGAACTCGTTCCGTTTTAATATCTTGCTGGGGATGTTTTCGTTGACCCCCAACCCCTGCTTTTGACCCAAAAGCCAGTCAACATGTGCCGCACAAAGGGTACCACAAGTTTTGGGAGCGCCTGTTTCTTGTTTGTTAAGCACCAACCCAGGTTACTGTTGAGGGTAAATGGCAGCCATCCCTGGGTTTTTCGACCAACCCATTTTGCGGCACAGGTGTCTCTAAGGGTACCGTTTTCCAAATGTTCGGGAAATCCCGCTTGTGTCCCTTTACAACTGAACCACCCCCCCCACCAAAGAAGAAAGAAGGGGAGCCCTCGGCGGCGCTCCATCCGAGGAGCGCAGCACTCGGCTGGAGCAGCTTTTGGCCGCAGACCAGCTGCTTCCGGCGGCCCAAGGAGCCGAACTCCGATCGAATCGAAGCGATGGCATTTGGTTTAGCCCGGATTCATTCCATCGGTATGTTGGTGCGAAGGGGAAATTGACCAGTATGTCCCCTTTTTGCGTTCTGCTGGGGCCATAAGTGAGGGAGACCTAGAAGTAGATGTTTCAGGTTGGAACTGCAGGACATCTGGTATGCCCGAGGCTCGATTCTTGCATCAGGACGTAAACTGTGGTCCCCTTGAGTTGATCAACTGATCAATCCCTGGGTTTCAGCCCTTGGGTTCTCAAACTGCAACTCCTTCGTAGGGCTCGAGTAAAGACATCCCCTTTTGGCTTGGGGCATTGCCTTTTGGGCCAACCAAGCTGGCGCTTCTTTTCACGTTGGGAAAGTGAACTTGATACAATGAATGAAAAAGTTCAAAGATATTGTCAACCATATATATATATACACACACGTATAGTCATATTGTTGTTCAAAAGGAAACCAAAGCGAAACCGAGGGATGAATTTTGGGACCGAAGGCCTGCTGGACCTCCACTCCTGCCTCGCCAGCGTCGCCGCATCGGAGATGGTCGAGAAGGCTGTGGCCAAGCCTTCGGACCGCGGTTGGGGGCTGGAGATTCGGGCGCATCGGTGTTTTTGCGCTTTTCTTTTGCGGGGTCAGGAAAGCAAGAGGGAGCCAACTTTTTTTTCAGAGTCTGGAGACCTGCCTTTAAAGTTGTTTTTTGTTTTGTTTTTGTTGTGTGTGTGTGTGTGTGTCAGAGGAGTTGGACCCAACAAATTGTGGTTTCCTGTTGGTTTCCCTTAAAACCAACCTTGGTACCCTCACACACGCAAATACACGCGCGCACACACACACACACAGTTGGAAGGTCATCCTTGAGCTCTCCTTGGGCTTGGACAAGGAGCGGCTTTCGGCTTGCTATTTTTCAGAAACCAGCTTCTGAAACAAGACACCTGACAATTTTTCGGCAAGGAACATGGTCTAAAGGCGGGCCCCCCCGACACTTGTTGTGACCAAGGTATGGCCAGCTGCGGCGTGGGCTGCTGGCCAAGGTGGATGTCGCCTTTGCCGAGCGCCTTCGCTTTGAGCCGCAGCAGGCGGAGTGGGCTCTTAGATGGTCTGGGAGTTAGCTTAGCGGTCAGTCAAACCCCAGTTAACCCTCAGGCCTCGCTCTAATCCCCAGTCAAACCCACATAAGCAGGGCTGCATTCAGCAATCACCAGACAATCCGAGATTGCCAAGGGTCATGGGCCTCTGCAGCATGACTGGAAGGGGCCGGGGAGGTGTGTTTGTTGGAAGCTCTCATTTTGGCAAGCTGCTGGGTGAAGGCAAGACCACCATGCTGGAGTGTTTTGGCGATGCAGCCAGAATGCTTGGTCTGATGGTGCTGGTGGTGCTGTTGCTGCTGGTGCTGGTGCTGGTGATGCTGGTGATGCTGGTGATGCTTTTCGTCGGCAGTGATGCTGGTGATGTTACTGGTGCTGGCACGGCTGGTGATGCTGGTGATGCTAGTGATGCTGGTGATGTTGGGTCAGTTTGGAAACTAGGAACCGGGGGGTATAATGAGCACCGGGAGGGGATTTTCAGCTTTTGGAAGATGGCAGCGGTTCTAATTATTTACCAGCGCCGTCTATTCCAAAAGGACACATTGGGGACTGGGAACTGTTGTTGCTTCATGTTCCTCACCAGGAGCCATATGCTTTCCTTCGCGATCGGCAGGTTGTGGTGAGATCAGTGTCGGAGCTATGGGACTGCTTGGGGCTGTTGCAGCTTGTGCAGCAGAAGGCACGCCCACTCACTGCGTCAGGGGCGGTGGCTGGAGGGGGTTGCTGGTTGTGGTTTCCTGGCGCGTGTTTGCGATCACATGGTCAACCCCTGAAAAGAAATGGCTCCCTTGTTCTACCTTTTAGGTCACAGGTTCCAGCTTGGACAACTACAGGGTGCCTTTTGGGGTGGCTTTAAACGGGCAAACCATCAGGAGACCAGCCAACCAAATTACTGCTTGCAACTGAGCCACAATCAAAGCCCGGGCAAGTGAAAATTAAACAGTCCCAACCATGGGTGCGACCGCCATTTGACTTCATGGATGTACAATTTGAGTACCACGATTTGACTACGACTCTGGTTGCAACTTTGTGGCCTTTGCAGGTGCGGGCGGTTGCAGAAGACCTGCGGCCCGTGCTGGCGCGGCTCTTGGGCGCGCGCCGGCCGCAGGCCAAGTGGGGCTGCGTGGGGCAGAGGAGTCTTTTTTTGAGGGGCGGCTGGGTCCTTCTCTTTTGACACATCCTCCAAAAGAGACGTTTAAGTTTCTAGAAGCACTCTGGGGGACCCAGATTTTCAGTCAGAGCCACTGCTTCAAACAGTTTAGAAGGGACGCGGCTTGACCATCAAGTCGGAGCCTATGCCTCAGTCTCCGGCCTTTGGAAAGGGGTTGGGGCAGCTTGCGCTGAAGACGCTGAAAAGCTTTGTCACACAGGCTGGGTTCCCTCTTTCTCTTTAGGAGCCGCTTTTTGACTTCAAAGCAAGGGGAGCTGAACCCATGTTTTTGGGGGCCATGTCCAAATGCTGGAACCTACCGGACTTGGGAAGTCCGATAAATTCCAAGTTCCCACTCCACGCACCTGGCCCAAGTTTCTTCGGATGTCGCCAGGCGCTCTTTGAGCAGAAGGACCAAACGGCGGTGTGGCGCTGGGCCGAGGCGGCCGAGGCGAAGGCGGCGGTGGATGTCCCGAAGGTGCTGGAGGCGCTTCGGCCGCGAAAATTCGGGCGAAAACCGGAGAAAAAGACACCCGTTTCCTTATCAACCCCGTTTTTGCAGGACTTTCAATAGTGGCCGGATTTGGTGACTGCAGCCTTTTTTTGGCTTTTTGCCTGTTTGCGTAAATGTCTTTCTGGTTTGGGTTTGGAAAAAGAGATGGAGCTAAGCTGGCTTTTGCTTGGTCCTCATGCTAAACCATCAATTTGTTTGACACCCAGGCTTGCTTTGGTGCAAACCGAGCAGCCAACAGTGCCCTGCTTGTGTGCAAAGTCTTTGGCTCAGACGACCTTGGTATACATATGCACACAAATACTACACAATACAAAGAGAGAAGTAAACACTTCTGGCCCCATGAAAAGTGAAAAAGTTAGACTCCTCAGGGAGTGTTACTGTTTTACTTTCCCCCCCAGACAGTTAAACAAGTGAAAAGGACAGTTTTGGAGCCATGAAGAGTGAAAAGGTAAAACTGCCCAAACTGCCAAGGTTGGACCCGGTAAAACTTGTCCCCAGTCAAACTTGTCCCCAGCAAAACTTGTCCCCAGTAAAGCTTGTTCCCAGAAAAAGTACAAAGTAGTGGCACTGTTGGACCCACGAAGAGTAACAAGTACAACGGCCTGAGGTAAACGCCACTTTGCTTGGGGAGTTGTAGTTTTGTACTTTTACTGGGGACAAGCAACAACAATCAAGGCGTCCTGACTTAAAACAAGTCTTGCTTTGGGAGTTTACTTTTTGCCTTTCATGGGACTAGGTGTTTTACCTTTTTGTTTTTTTGTTAAATATAACTTTCATACTTCCTCAGAAGAAGCAAATAAGTCAAAAAGCAAGCTTTTGGATGCATGAAGGGTAAATCTGTCTGAAGTAAAACACAAGCTTTACTTGTGGGAGTTTTACATTTTTGCTTTTCAGAATGAGCGTCGAGGTGAATCGTAGTGGAGTCACTTGGTGCACCTGCATAGCGCAACATGAGGCTCCAATTACGAGAGAGACCGGAGCGCTTGTCAAACTGGCTAGTAGGCATGGCTGTGAGCTCATTGTCATGGCTTTGGTTTGATGGATTCTGGTTTCGACCCACTTGCTGCGTACCACGTACCCCCCCATTTGTTCCCAGGCCGTGGCGAGCCTTTTGGAGTTCGTGGCACTGCACTGCGCCGGCACCGCCGAGGACGGGGTGGGTTTTGAGGCTCAGCAATTCAACAGCTCGGCGAAGGGACGTTCTGCCGCTTTTTTTCACAGGTCACAGATGGCCATCCCGGTTTAAAGCAACATGGTATGTGTCAAAATATGGGAGTCCGCAAACGTGCGGCTTTCCTTTTGCTTTCCAAAAAAGATCCGACGTCAAGAAGGGTACCCCCAAACTCAAGCCCATGTTCTTCATGTTTCACTTTCCCTCGAAGGTAGATCTATGCAGTTTGCACAAACATGATAGGCATTGCTGGCCTAATTCACTTTGGATGAGAAACGCCGGATCTCCTTTTGAGTGGTTCAAAACTCACCTTTGGGCATCTGGCTTTGCCTGCAAGGAGGAACCCCTTGAAAGCGTCAGTTTCCCTTTAATACTTCGAATCGGGAGTATCCCCACACCCGCGATGCTTTCTTGAGGGAACTTCTGCATTTACCTTCAAAGGACACCTCCAGAACCATCCAGAAAGGGTGCATTTCCCAAGGTTGACCTTGAAACAACACCAACCCACGCTTTTGCCCCTTCTTGTTGACCTTAAACCTCGCCTTTCCTTCGGGTCAGATCCAATGATCTAAGGGTAGCTTCCCCATTCTTTCCAGTCCTTCTTTCGAGAAAACCACCCAAAACCCTCGCTCGGAAAACAGCTGGTTCTTGAAAAGAACGATGGTTGAACAGAATGGAATTGAAGTCAACCCCTAGAGCTTGGTCCGTGAGAGGGACCGATCGCGTTTCGACTCCGAAAGGCCTACCCATAAACCGAAAGGGTCCGAAATGGTCCGAACCTCTGCGAACATCCACCGATTGGCAAAACGGGTGGTCCGATCCGTCGCTCCGAGGCATCGCGTCGCGTCTTCGCGTCTCCAGGTCTCCCGGGCCTTCGGCTTCAGCTTGTACCCCCAGGTGGCGCGACAGCTGCGCAGCTCGGAAGGCGAAAGAGGTCCCGACAATGGCCGTGGGTCAAACATGGGAACACATCTTTTAGCTAAACTAAAGAAATTGAAAATAATAGCATACAGTTGGTTGCTTAGTTGTTTGTTGTTTATTTTTTGAAACAATTTGTTATATAAAGATTGATTTTTCTGAAAGCCCCAAGAGTACCCAGGAAAGAAAGGCAGACTCAAATGGATGCGATGGGTCAACAAAAATACCGTGGATGGACGAACTCTGCTTGGGTGGCTCCTCCCAATTGAGGATTCATTTGTTCATGGGGATTTTCCCCTGTGCGAAGTGGATGTTGCCTCTGCACATGGCCTCTTTTCGGACTGCGGACGTTTGCCACAGATTCATCCTCATGGTCCCTGTTTGGACCCGGGTTCCTTGTGCCGCCTGCAGGGATACCCAAAAAGCGGATTCCAAGCATTTGAACACCCTCAAACAATGGCCAGGTCTTCGTTGGTTAACATCTCTTGTTTCTTTTGGCGGTCGTTTGACGTTTAGGTTTCCCAGTCCGTGAATCTTATTGCTTCCTTCGACCATCAGCAACCCTGAAAAATGGATCAGGCGAATCTCATGGCTGGACCTCTCTGGATTTGGGAAATCCATATTTCTGATGTCCCAAGTCAAGCTAGTTTCTCCTTTCAGAAAAAATCACCTGCTTGGGCAAGTGAGGATGCGTAGCCAATTTGCCATCATACCCAGTCAGTTCATTGAGAGAATCCAGGTGAGACGGGGAGGTTTTCAGCTGCTTCAAGCAGTGAAGGTTCCGCTAAAGCCTTCGCCATCGGGGTCATCCGTAAATATGCCAAGAACACCAGCTCCGAAGCTTTCTGGGGCGGAAATTCACGTCTGGCCCCAGCTGACTTGTAAGCTTCCAGGGCTTTGGTCAATAGCTCAATCTTGGCCGGCTTGGTCTCGTTGTGAAATTCTGGAGCAGATTTCATGGCGCACCCCATGGACCTCTGAAATTTGTTTGGAGAATGCTTCACTTTCTTGAAACACACGCTCCTGTTGATCCACCACCTTGGTGAATCCGGGTTCAATACCAGTTGAGGTAGGTGAATAGCAAAACCATAACTTGGGTTTTTGGGGAAGAGAACACATACTGATGGGTCTTAGATTCACCGTCAATGGCTAAAGCTTGCGAACCACTTGCCAAGCACAAGCTGGGCCCAGGCAAGTTGGATCTTTGTGCCGCGGAAACTGCCGTGGAGCAGTTTGAGAAGCGGCTCCAGCTGCAAGGTCTGGACACTCAGCATGTGTGTTTGTTTTCTTGAGTTGGTACTCCTCTCCTTCTCCTAGTTTTAAAGGGAAACACGGGAAACCAACAGGAAAACCGAAGCCATTCTTTCTTAGCCTTTTTTTTGGGCGGGGGGCCGAACCCTAAAGAGGAACCACACCCATTTGTCGTTTGTGCGACATAGCACTGCTATCATAATCGGGTAGGAGTGCCATGCGGGAGTTGCGGGAACCTTTCGCTCGAGTGATTTTGCATCAATCTCTTGGGAGCTTTTGTACTCAACAGTTCAACCCTCTCAGCACTTGTGTTGCCAAACATCGTACACGATGCAGACTGGGCCACACTTTCGACACAGCACAATCCAGAATTCAAACCGTTTGCCGCTTTCTGCCTTCTTGCGTGGATGGTTCTTGTGCTGCGAGCTGTGCAGCAAAGCCTTGTCAAGCAAAATAATACGCATGCTGTCATTTACTGTTCTGAAACGTGGGCACTGGGGGGGTAGGGGGGGTGACAATCCAGAAATATGGCGATATGCATGTATCCATTGCGCATACTCTCGCTCTGGGGCGACAGCCATCTCTGAGGCTTGATCGGCGACGGCGAAAGCAGCCTTTCGCGGCATGTGCGCGCTCAAATTCAGGCGTCCGTGCTGGGATTCAGCACACGTTGCCGTGCTTGTGCTGCAGGCTAAAATTTGGATTTTGGCCGCGTTTGTGTTGGTATGTTTTTCGGTATTTGTGGTTTTGTTTTTTTTGTGCACGTTGTGTTTTGCGGTTATGCTCGGCTGCTCTGCAACGGGCGCTGATTCGATGACTTTTTCGCTTGCGCCGTGGACATTTGGGGCAGGCATCTTTCCCCAAGTGGAAGTAGCCCTGCTGAAGTCGACTAACCACCGTGGTTCAATTATTCAACTCGACACCATTTGACCAGATGGCTTCAGCCTGGCAAGCAACAGTTTGCGCCATGTCTATTCAGCCTGGCCATGTCGTGACAAAACCTGGCTATGTTGACGTTGTTTCTCCAGGGTACAATGGGGCAGAATACAACGCTGCTCCGAGCCCTGAGCAGATGGATCAATCTTACGGTCAGACAATTGGTCAGGCTGCGCTTTCCTTGGTTTCCCTTGGCCAAAATTCAAATGGGATCAACGTGTTGCGCTTTGAGAGGTCCTCAACATCATATTTGGGAGTGGGAACTTCCATGGTGAGGACGCCATAGCACTTGGTTTTCTCAGATTTGTGATGGGCTTTGGCTTTTCCAGCATGTGCTGGCTCCAACCGCGTGGCTTTGAGGATGTCTTACTAAACCGGATCCGGTCCTACCAACTTCCCCTTCGACCCACCATTTTGGCTCGGGGATGTCTAAACTCCGCCCAGTTGGTGGGGCTCATCCCAGTATTCATGGAGTTTCTGGCATTTGGTGCGTGGAATCCGTGGATTTTCTCCATCTTACATCATGATGCTTGTGTCTTTTTTTTGTGGCCGCCTTTGTCCCTGTGGATTGCGAGTGGGAAGCCAAAGCAAGAACCAAAGCCATGTTTGTAGGGGTGGATTCCCCATTCGTTTTCAGCCATTTCCCCAATATTTTTGGTGGTTTTCTAGAAAGAAGGATCCCTGGATTCAGAATGGGGAAGCTACCCCTAGGAAGTTACCCCCAGTTATCCATGTTAGGTTTGTGTCTTTTTTTGAGGCTACCTTTTTCTCTGCGGGCCTGGATTGCAAGTGGGAAAGCAAAGGGAACACCAACGCCATGTTGACGTCCCCCGAAGAAAGCCGGCGCCGCCACCCATCCCATCGTCCAGGCCCAGGAGCAGCGGCTGCCGCGGGTGCTGGCGGAGGCCAGGACTTGGCTGCTGGAGGCCCGGGCTCCGTCTGAGGTGGGCGAAGCGGATTGGTTCTGCCCGCGAAGAAAGCTGAGTTGAAACCTGGCGAGCTCACCCTAAACATCCTTTATTTAGCCGCCGTTGGCGTGTTCCGCCGGCCACCCGGCTGAAGCAGGGGGGGGGCAAGGGATGCTGCCACTGCGCGAGGAATCTTGCGGCGTGGCTGGATGCAACGTGTGGCTCTCACGCTTCTTTTCCTGTCTTGTACACCCCGCAGCCAGCCGGTCTCACTTTGGCCTTGGTCCGGTCTCAGCACTCCCCTGCAGCTGCAGCCCGAGCAACTTGCCCATGTCTGACCTTCAATTTCACACAGATGATGCTATTGGTGTCTCATTAGAAGGAATTCTGGCGGCGACTGTCACTCCCGTGTGTGGCACGGCTGAGGCCCGGAGCCACGTCCAGCTCCACCAGCATCCTCAGGGCAGCCCTTTTTTCTAACCGCTCGGCGGCCATCTTCTGGAGTTCTGCTGCATTGAGCTCGACGTGGCTCAGAATTCCTTCCACACGTAGCTCTTCCACACGCGGGAGTGACAGTCGCCGCCAGAATTCCTTCTAATGAGACACCAATAGCATCATCTGTGTGAAATTGAAGGTCAGACATGGGCAAGTTGCTCGGGCTGCAGCTGCAGGGGAGTGCTGAGACCGGACCAAGGCCAAAGTGAGACCGGCTGGCTGCGGGGTGTACAAGACAGGAAAAGAAGCGTGAGAGCCACACGTTGCATCCAGCCACGCCGCAAGAGCATAGTAAAATGAAGGAGGGTGTTTTGAAGGTTAGATCTTCTCCGCTCTCCGAGCTATCTGCCTCGGCCACAGCGCCAGACAGACGCCGCAAGCTGCGAGCAGTGGGAAAGGCGCAGCAACAACAGCACGAACAAAGACATCCAGAACGCAGGAGCAGCGAGGGTAGGTTCAATGTCCGCTCTCCGCGGGTTTGCCGAGGGAGATGCCCTTGCGCAACCACTAAAGAGACACTATAGCCTCTGACAGGAAAGAGAAAGCAAGACAGGGAAGATATGGAGAAGGGCCGGGAGGACCGACAGTAACCCGTCGCAGTGGACAACACGCGGCAACGACAGCGCGGACAACAACAGCCAGAACCCTTGAGCAGCGAGGGTACGGCCAATGTCCGCTCTCCGCGGGTTTGCCGAGGGAGCGGCCTTTGCGCACAAAAGAGAGACGATAGATGCAGATGGGAAAAAGAAAGCAAGACACAGAAGATATGGAGGGGGGGGGGGGAAAAAAGAAAGCAAGACACAGAAGATATGGAGGGGAGGGGGGGGGGGTGGGGGGGAGGGGGGGGGAAGGGGGGGGGGGGGGGGGGGGGGGGGGGGGGAGGGGGGGGGAGGGGGGGGGAGGGGGGGGGGGGGGGGGGTGGAAGGGTAGACCATGTATAATGTGGCGCGCGCGCGCGTGGCTCACATGACCCGCACGCCCCTTGTTGTTTTCATTATTCGAATCACTCCATATACTTTTACAGGGGCGGGTGACTGTTGAGGAATGCCAAATCCAATTCTTCTAAGTGTCTAATTCTTCCAAATATTCCCGAATGGACGGGCGTGCTTTGGATCTTCAACGCAATTTCCATTTTTGTGCAGCTATTCTAATTGTTTTGTTCCCGCAAGGGACTGGAGCCCTTTGGCGAATTTCAGATCCATGCTTGCTCTAACTATTCTGCTTCTAAACCTACTATCTTATCTTATTTTATTGCCAAAGCGAGGGCTTCCTTTCGGGAAATGCAACACTCATGCTTGTTCTAATCATTCTAAGCATTCTCACAATTCTAACATTCTGTTTTTCAGTGGCCGGGCGCCTTGTTGGGAATGTCCAGATTCACTTTGAGCTAATCATTCTACTTCTCATTTTTATCCTAACATGTGTTCCCAAAGGGACGGGTGCTTTCTGGGGAAATCCAGACTCGCTGTCTAATTACAATGATGTTCTAACTAGCCTAATTCTTCGATTTATTCAAAATGGGTTGGGTGCTTTCGTGGATTTCCTGGCTATACTCTTCTGATTATTCGGGTTATGCTAGTTATTCCCAAAGGGACGCGTGCCTTTTGAGAAACTAACCAATTCATTGTTGCTAGTTGATCTACTTATGCTAAGAACTTGGATAAGTAGTATAATTAGAACACAGTTCCCTATTACTCATGTTTCTGAAAGGGACAGGTGCCTTTTGGGGAATTCCAGATGCAATTGATTTAATTCGTCTAATGATTCTTGATATTATCATTCTAAGTATTCCAAAGGGACGGGCACCCTTTGGGGAAATCCAGATTCAGTGTCTGTTCTAATCATTCTACGGTTGATTTGTCCAATTACACCAATTATTGTGGAATTCAACATTCATGTTTGCAATACGCAAGTGTCAGAACCATTCTCGTTACTCTATTTTTTCCCGAGGGGCCCTTGGGGAAATGGCAGATGTGTTTAGATCATTTCAAGTCTTGGAGTGGTTCCAACTCGGTGAAATAAATAGAATAAGACGAAGACGCGTAGCCGTATTTGTACGCGTAAATCGTGTGTATCTGTTCTAGTTATTAAAATGAGTCTACCGAATTAGAATATTAAACAACACAGACCAGATAACGCCCTTTGTTTTTCTAGCCACTCGGCTTATTCTAACTGTTCAAACAGGGGCGCGTGCCTTCTCAGGAAATCAACATCACTTTATTTGCAAGTTCCTGTAATTGTTCAAGCTGTTCTAGTTATTCCTCAGGGGAAGGATGCCCTTTGGGGAACCCCAGATCCATGTTTCAAATTGTTCTACTCATGTATTCCGAAAGGGACAGGTGCCCTGTTGGGCGGAATTCCCGATTCATTGACTTCTAATTGACTACTGTTCCCATTGATCCGAATATCCAGGACGATAAGAGAATATATGTTTTGCTAACTGTTCTAAATATTATACTTGTTCCCAACTGGACAGGTGCCTGTTTGGGAATTCCAGACTCATGTTTGCTCCAGCTATCCTGAGTAGTTTCATATTCTATCCATTGCCCAAGGGACGGGTGCCTTTTGGGCGAATTCCAGATTAGTGTTTGTGCCAATGTTTCTAACTCTCTAATTATTCTGATTATTCCGGTGCCTTTTGAGGAATTCAAGATTCATCTTGCAAATTACTTTATTTAACACAATTCTTCTAGTTCTTCTAATTGTAATCTCTAGGGGGTGGGGGTGCCTTTTACAGAATTTCAGACTCGTGTTTGCTCTAGGTATGATACTTTTGTCAAAAGAGATGGGGCCTTTTGGTGAATTCCATAGTTTTCCCACACTGTTCCAATCATTTGAAAAAATTCCAGCTGAGCAACCTTCTTTTGGTGAGTAGAGAGGGTGACAGTTGGGAATTCCAAATCCATGTCTTCTAAGTCTCTAATTCCTCCCATTATTCCCATTATTCCCCGCGTGCTTGGGAATTTTCAGGTTCAATTTCACCAGGAAACAGGAGCCGTTTGGCCAATTCCAGATCTAAGCTTGTTCTAATTCTTCTACTTCCTATAAGTACTATCATTATCTTATGTGCTTATGTGCGTCCCAAATGGAGGGGTACCTTTTGGAGAATTCAATATTCATGTTTGTTCTAACTAGTCTAAGCGTTCACAACTCCAACTCTTCTACTTATTTTCAGTCGGCCGGGAGTTTGTGCTAATTAATCTACTTCTCATGATTCTTCCAACATTTATTTCCAACGGGGCGGGTGCCTTCTGAACATCCAGGCTCACTGTCTAATTACAGTAATTCTTCAATTTAATCTAGCGTAATTCTTCGATTTAAACTATTGTCATTATCTTATTTGCTTTCCAAATGGA